ACTTGTTTTGTATATTATTATTATTATTATTATTATTATTATTATTATTATATTTCAATAATTAAACTGTTTTTATCTCAACCCATGAGTTTTCTCACTTCTACTCTTCCAATTCTCTCCCCCATCCCACCGGATGCGAGCGGCTGTGTGGTGCTCAGTTGCCGACTGAGGTTAAACCATGACATGAGGGAAGGATGAGAGAAATGCAAATGTTATCCATGAGAAAGACAATGTTTGCAGTGGAGTAAAACCATTGCAAATGACAGGCTCAAGAGCCATTCTAAAGTAGACATGGTGCAATGGGAAATTACGGCTAATTGGGACTCTGAAGATGTGCATTTGGATAACACAGTACATAGACCATTAGATTTCTTTCCCACATAGAGTCATTTGCTAGCATTTCCTCACATCCGAATCCTTTTTTTCCCCAATTTCCTTTGAGTTTGACGTAACAGGACTGGCAAGGTCTATGTCTCATTCTAACTGTGTCTTATTCAATGTCTTATTCCAGCACCTTGACAGGAATCCTCACGGATACAGGTCTCAGAGGTAGACAAATTCCCTCTGCAACATTAGGAAAAGTGTCTGGGTGTCTCACAGCGACCCTAACTTTTGCCACTAATGAAGAAAATGTTTCTGCATGGGTTCAGCTGTGCTTTGGTTTGATTGCCATCAGCCAGGCAGTACCATGTGCAGCTCCAGCCCAGCTGCAAATATATGCTGATGTTGCTGAGCAGGATGAATGAGGAGGTAAGAAGAAGCTGGAGGTACTGCGGTGTGGGAGGGCAGATGGGGTAATTGGAAGTAAAGTGATGTCGGAGACCACTGGAGTAAGAAGCAGAGGAAAGTTGTAAGGAGGTAGGACCGATTTCCTAATCCACAGGAAAGCAGGTTTCGTTAGATCTGCAGAACAACCTATTTTATTCAAGTGTTGAAAGAAGGAAATACTCGAAATGAAACTATGACCAAAGCTGGCCAAACACTGTGGCCTCTGATGTCATGGCGAAGCCCTCAGCTCAGCTGGTGTGTTTGTCATGCTTGTGACTCTGCATGTGTTTGCATAGCCCTCTCTATTATGGCCCTTTTGTGCTTCCTTCTCTCATTACTGTGTTCATTATTTTCTGACAGAACCTCATCGCCTTTGCCTTTTATTATTTCCTTAGTGCTGGTACCCGCAGCAATATCAAACCGATGCCAGCAATTAAGTGACACCACTGCATGTTTCTTCACAACATTGTCTTCCGCATGCCGACCTTTCCCCAGCAAAGTGCCACACGTTTTAATAGCCTACATTTCCCAGCCTTGTCTCTCTGGATGTCTTCTCCCTCATGCAGTGGGTGACCAGCCACTTTCAAAGCCCTACCTTACCAGCTCAGGGCATTTTTCATCTTCAGTCACAGCCCTGTAATTTGCAAACAGGGCTCTGTGCTGGCTGACAGGTCAGGAAGCTAGCAAAATAGTTCTTTTGGTTGAGATGATTTTATGTTGAGAGCAGGATAGGATCATGTATTTTTAATATGCAAGACAACATTAACAACAGTCAGAGGTGTCAGGGGAGAGGATTAATATTTTGTTTCACAGAACAATTCAATCTTCCCTTTCAATACAGCTGCTAAGTTTTTTACCATAACTAAATGTAATTAAAGTGCTGCTGATCTGCACCATGATTTGTAAATTGGAGTCCACTGAAAAGCCCCAACCAGGAGCCACACAAGCACATATCACTCCCCTGCCTACACTGCTAGCCAAAAAGACCCACGGCCACATGGCCTTTGTGACATTATCTGGTGTTAGTTTGGCAGGATTTATGTAGCTTATTACTGTGCAATAGGCACAAGATATACCATTGCCTATGAAAGACAAACGATAACAAGTCTTCCTGCAGAATTTTCTGGCAGTCTGGATCTGGCTGTGCAACTAGGTCAGCTCTTTTCTGGCTTTCTACGAAAGCCACTCTTTTGGCCTTTCAGTCTTTCTCATCTACATAATGAAATGGCCATAATGAAATGAATCCTTTTTGTTCTTCCCAGTCCACCAAAAGAGCTGACATTTTGATGGTCACTCCTCAGTTCAGTTCTCCACATTTGGCCATAGCCAAGTACTGCCTACTGAGGCTCTGCGCTGTCCCAGTCTGCTACTGGTTCCTTACTCTATGTCACTTGTTTTTCATAGTCATTGTCATCCCCTCCACCCAATGCAGCCAGAAAATGAGTTGGTACTTACTTGTATTGCTGTGTCCTGTAGATCCCTGTTGTGACTCCTACAGTAATAATAGAAAAAAGGTACGGTGTGTTATTTTTACGGCAATTTTTAGCTGCGATACTTGCTTGAACATTACCTTAACAATACAAACAGCATTTTGTTTTTCATAGTCATTGTCATCCCCTCCACCCAATGCAGCCAGAAAATGAGTTGGTACTTACTTGTATTGCTGTGTCCTGTAGATCCCTGTTGTGACTCCTACAGTAATAATAGAAAAAAGGTACGGTGTGTTATTTTTACGGCAATTTTTAGCTGCGATACTTGCTTGAACATTACCTTAACAATACAAACAGCATTTCTAATTGTTTTTTTAGCTGCGATACTTGCTTGAACATTAACAATACAAACAGCATTGCTAATTGTTCATTCAGTTTCAAAGTAATTTTCAATTACAAGAATAAATTCAATATTTCTTTGAAAATCCATTAATTCTAAGGCTCGTAAACTTATTTCACAACAACCCTTTAATGGTGCAATTCCTTGTATAGCTATTATGACTCTCCTGCTCATTATTCATTTATTGATCAGCCAAAACTCGTCTATTATCTTCTACAAGTTTAGATGAGAAGACAGAGGGAAGACCAATATTGTTTCATGGACCACTGGATTCCTGAGGTAGTAGCACAGCTGGTCTTTCCTTTTCACAGGTTGATATTGACAGCACTGGAGAATGGAAATACAGACTTTACTTCTGGGTCCCCAAGATTACAAGGTTAACTTGTATCACAACCGCAGCATCTATGAATATGGTGCAATAAATCAGACCGTTTTTTCCTCACATGCAAATGTTCACATATTTTACTCACAGAATTTGTTTGCATTCATAAAAATATAAAAGAAGCCTATAAATAGAAGGGAAAAACAAATATAAACTATAACAAAACGATATTTAAATTAAGGAAAAAAAGAACACTTTGCTGTGGATGACAGCAGGGAAGGTATCCTGTATGTAACTCTGCTTCTGAATAACCCAGACATGCACAGGAATACCACCTCATATACATGCTGCAGTTACAACTGCTCGGAGAGGCCAGGCACCCACAGCAACACACGCGGTCATTTTCGGTGAGGAATCGGGCGCTGGACCAGATCCCTGGTCCACAGAGGCTGAGCGATAAGCCAAATGCACAGCTCATCAAGAAAGGAACTACAAGTCCCCAGAGAGCTCCAGGATGCTCCAACTCGGCCGAGCTGAGACTTTGCTGCTGAGTCACTCAGAAGCATCAGGGGCTTGGGGCCCCAAGAGTTTCTTGACAGCTCTAAATGGAGGTTGGCTGGACCGCAGGCACTGGGGTCTCGAGGGCTCAGCTAGTCAAATCCCCTCGATCTGCACCATTTGCTCTGGAGTCAAGGCTGTCCTTTGATGTGTAATTTTTATGCTGTAATACACATCTGCAATTCACTGCCATCCTACACACCTGAAATGCGAGACATCAAATTTTTGGGCAAGCCCTAAGGGTTTCTACCTTCAACTGCAGTATGAAAAGATCTGTACCGTGTTTCACATGCCGACAATAATTTCTCAATAATTTGAAATTCTCTACTTCTGACAAATCGCCTCAGCTTTCTGTGAATGCTTCTGATGAAGGGATATTAAACCCTGTTTTTTTCTGGTGACTGAATATAATCTTAAGAAGTCAGGATCAGCTTGCAGTGGTGATGTAGTGACATATACACTTGAATTTAAATGCTATTCTAGTAGCCAACCAGGCTGCCAATAAAAGTAGGCTATTAGAGCATGTTCAGTTTCCAGAATAGTGAATTTATGTACCTAGAGAAGTTGGGGGAATACAATCATTCTGACGGAAATACCCTCGAGTTTGTAAAAGTGTTTGAAACTGCTAAAGAAGGATCTTGCTCACTCTTTTACATTTTCATCAACCTCAGGAAGAATGCACTCTCCCCTTTAACTGCCTAGCACAGTATCTTACCTCTGCCATTGGCTCTGCATAGTCTCAAATTTGACCATCAGCAAAACATATGAGCTAAAACATTTTCACTTTTCCTTTTAAGTGATTCTTTAAAATAAGTGTCTTGATTCTCAACAAATTATTCTTAATAATAAAGGCCAATATAAAAATCTCATAGTGAAACAGAGAATGCTCCCACTGATGTAGGAAAAAAGCACTACTTTATGTAACTTAAAAACCAAAGGTGAAGTCTTCACTTCTGGAGATTATTTTCTAGTGCATTTGCTCCAGCTTGTTAAAATCAACAAGAAAGGAAAAAGTAAATGAATTGAGCATGTAAAGAATAACATCACTATGATAACTTAGCTTCTGCTGAGAATAATCACCCAATAGCTTTGTGACAAGACACCAGCTCTCCTGGAGTGGATAAATTAATTCTCAAATAACAACATGATGGCTGATCCCATAATATCACACACACATAACTAGAAATCAAACACCTGATCAAACTTTCAAGACATGAAATCACAGTAAAAATGAAGAAAGAGAGCAAAGCAGGCAGCAGAATTAACAGCATTTTTTTCCCCACACAAGAGTAGAGAATTAATGCCTGAACATGAAAGCTCATTCGCACAAGCATCAAGTGAGCTCTTATTTACCAAATTTAATTATTCATTTAAAGTTTATTTATTACGATGTTTTTAATAAAATTACAATCAAATAATGCCTGATCATTTGTACATAACAAAGTGAGACAGAGATAGGAGAAAGGAAAGCACACACAGCCTGTCACATCACACACTCATTCAATTATCCTTAAGCTTTGAAAAGCAAGAAATAAAGAGACTGTTGTTGCCCCTTTCTTGTAAATTCAAGAGTACAAATTAATTCCACAGAAAAAGAAAATTCAAAGTTAAGGATGAAATGTAACTTTATGCCCTCTATTACATAAAGGACAGTTCCCTAAATGTGCTCTCCCAGCAGCGCTGTGCTGAGAAACCTATTAGGCACTGCCATACGTGTCAAACCTGACCCGGACTTTCCTTCCATTCTTGTGCATTAATGCAGACCTCCCATGTTAATGAGGTCTGATTTCATATACAGGTACAGCATATGCACATACATCCCCCCCCATCCACCGAGCATATAGATGTATAGATGGACACATCCACACGCGCAGTTTCAAATACGCTATTCTGTTACATTTGTTATATATAAACCTCAGTTATTTAGCTTTTATTACTAGACTGATTTCAAAACCACTCTAGCCATAGTTGCTGTGGCCTTTGCAACTTTAATAGCCTAATTAATAAATTTCAAGTTTCAAGCTGTCAGATCACTAATTACTTGAGTTGCAGGTTAAAAGCAGTGTGGCATGTATGGGAACTAATGATGCTGACACTCAGTTTTTATAGACAGAAAAGTAAGGATGATTTGCATCCTTGCAACAGGGCAGGAGTCCTACAAGCTTCTCTTTTTCTCATTCCCAAAATGATGAGTATCTTTACACTTGGGAACTGTCTTCTGTTAAAAAGGATTGCAGCCTACTTGCTTCTCTGGCTGGAAGAGTCATTGCAAATGAACTGAACTGATCTCTCAACACTGCCATAAAGACTGAAAATGAATTCATGGTACCATGCATCGCTTGGAACTAAGAGATGAAGCCGATGCCCTGAATTTAGCCTTTTAGCCTCTGCTAGCCTTGGCCACTACTTAACTGACAGGCCCATTTATCTGAATAATGTGCGATCCACAACAGTTTGGTGTAGTCCTTAGGTTTTAACAAGTTGGGACAGCTACGTAGCTTGCCTGTGGGAAAGCTTCCTAAGAGTTATGGAGACATCCCCTGTGAGATCCAATAAAGATTTTACACCACACTTTGTGAAAAGCAATAGCTAGCTTACAAATGTTTCAAAAACATGTTTGAAAAATTAGGAAACCATTCTTTGCATTTTGGAGCCTGAAAAGCAGATGCCTTCTAAAGTCTGCGACTGTACAGATTCAGAGTAAGCCACAGAAGTAGCTTTTAATTATTTTAAAATATTTTAAAATAGAGGTGGTGTCTAAAATTAACATGATCTATGGCCAGTAATGCAGGACTTTTCCAGGACTCTGGTGAGTTTTGTTAGCTACTTGTTCCCCATCTCTCACAATGCACTCTAATTTCTGACCATGCATACCACCCAGGCCACAATACAGTTTTGATGTTATTATACGTACAAAAGTATGCTCATATATTATTAGATGAAATCTTGTCCATCCTAAGCTTAAATAAAATGGAAATTCTACTTTGGTAAGAGAAAAGGAAACCACCTAGAAAAGGCTCTTTAAAAATGAATGGTAGATCTCTGAAACGGCTCTGCAGTTCAAACTATTAGAATATTTCCCAGAGAGATGGATGAACAGGCAGAGAGAAGATGAGAAAGTCAATATCAACCATTATTCACATATCTTTGCCCTATGGTCTGTGGTTCTCCTATTCCTATATTTATCACAATACATTTAGTTGTGAGGAATTGCATTCATGACGGCCACACAGATACGCTGATATGTGCACACCTTGCCCATGCACGTCTGCACGCATGCCACTCAAGTACATCACGTAGTGATAATTATGGCAGAAACTGCAGAGCTGCAAGCACTACTTCGTTTTTGTCATCCATATCCGGGCACTTCACCTGCTTGTAAGCTGCTGATCCATCTATCTCCTACTGGACTTAACTCTAACGTAACAAGCCTCTAGCCCGCCTACCATCTTCAATCAGCTGTCTACCTTCAACGAGCAAATAGGCAGTGAGTTATTTCCTTCTTTTTCTTTCATAACATGCCAGAGGTGTTTTGGTTTACACCCCTGGTACTTCAAAATCACGACACTGTCATCCACAGAAAAGCTGTTTTACTGTAAGCAAAGCTTGAAGGTTTCTTGGCTTTGTGGTTATAATTATTCCCTGCACTAAATTTTGCAGAATGGACTTAAAAGTTACCAAAGGAGCTTGCTTTAACAGGAGAAAGGCTATAAACAGCATCAATACCATCTTTCAAGCTTGAACACTTCATGAAATATGCTTGTGGCATGTAAACTGTATATGGTGATACAATGGGAAGTTTTTATTGGCTCTTGCGTAAGATAGCTGATTTCATTCCCTCCTGATTTACCAAGTATAAAGAATGTGGTTTCCCCAAGCTCGTGCCGATGAGCTTTACCATGCTGCACTGCATCCTCCCTGGGATACACATACAATAGTGGAGCTGGTTTCAAGGGACCATCAGCAGGACCAGTGGCCTTGGTCCCTTGAGGGACCAAATACTTCGCTGGCAAATACTTCTGTGGCCCCTCTGGGCATCATGGCACTGGGCTGCCTGCCTCTCTAGCAAAGCTGTCCCTGAAGCCAAGTTGGTGGCAGGGGATGTATGCCCACTCCTCAGCCCCCAACTGCAGAGGCCAGTGTCTTAGTAAAGCCCACCTCAGACCTCAATGGTTTCAACAAAAATCTCGGCTATCGAAGCCAAATGAAGCAGGAGCAATGTATGCGAGCAGGAGCGTCTTGACTCGCAGCAGCTCTCTGTGCCCTGAGGTATCAGTCAGGAGCCTCAGCAGGTGCCCACAGAAGGCACCACATCTGGACACACCACCAGGGACACCTGCGGTTTTGCCTTGCGGTGAGGAACCCATGACCCACACACCAGCATCAGTGCTGCTTCCAGGAGATATGCAAACAAGACCGTGTAGCCCTGCAGAGGCTGTAAGCAGGGAAAAGGCAGGGGATACTGGCACACACACGGAGAAGGTCATCAGCACGGCATCAACCTCACCCCAGAGACCTCACACACTTAGTCAGGGCTCATTTAGGACATGTTTTGAGGTGCAGGAGGCATGTTTCTACATGATGTTGCATGTCTTACCTTGTTTGGGAAGGGAAACTTGCTTTGTTCTGCCTTTCCTGGTGTGTGAATAGCTGACAGTGGTGGAGGCCATGAATGGGTCATCTCCTGAAAAAGAATGTTGTACAACAAACTGTGTTTAGAAAGTCAATGGAATAGGAGACAATGATAGTATATCAGTAGCAAGAGTGCCTGGGTAGTGGAATATTTAAGTTACTGCAGCTTCTAGGAAATGCCCAGTTTACATATAATCTAGACAATACATGAGCTACATTGATTTTTATCACAGACTCTTGAGAGCAGTTCTTAAGCACCGTTTCATTTTCCTGAATAGTTAATGCATCTTAAGTGCAAGAAGTTTGATTTTTCTGACAATCTGCAACCACATTTTAATCATGCAGTGTATTCTGGCTGGTGAGACTAACAGAACTTTTTTTTTGTAGCATGGGAACAGAAATTTCAGTTCATGACCAAGTAATGGGGTACACACTATGGACTAATCACGGAATAGATTTCACAGACAAGGTCAGAATGATAAATGCTCAACACTTGCTCAACAGTTAATTCCTAAAATTGCCTTTATCATTGTAAAGGAGTTGAGTAAGGTCCTAACTGCAACGTGTTTGTGCCTTGCAGGACACAGACATGTGGCAAGCCCTAAACAAGGTGTGCTGCACTCCACCTTTGTCTCCTCCCTGTGTTGTTTTGAAGGACATTTTTTAATAGCTAAGAGACATACGTAGCTTGACCTGACTTGTATGCAGTCATCCTTGACACAGCTTCAGGTAGCAGGTAGACACGTGTTCAATACCATTATTATTCAAGCCTGAATGAGTTGGTCTCCAAAGCAAGGCTGCATTTGGTGAGGTGTAAATTAAACACTTCAGACAAGAAGTTTGTTAAGAGAGAGGCCCCATATTCCTCTCTAGTGCAGGCTGTTAAAGGATGGACATGTTTTTTGAAATGTTCAGCACCAATAGCCATAATATTTGGTACACAGTAACTTAACAGAATTAATATGAGAAGCAGCACAGAGCGTGACAACCCTGAAGAGTCGGCCCGTAAGTTTCAAGAGCTGAAGAGCAACTAACATCCTGCCTAAGCAGGGGGCTCGCTGACACTATCAAGAGTTTGCCTGGCAGATGCTTTGCTGGGTTCTGATACCATTAGCTGACTGTGGAATTGTTTCTCAGTGATATTCCAAGGAGTCGTGCTGAGATCCACGATCAGTCCCAAAATAATGCTGGAGTTATATTTCCATGACTCATTCCTTTTTAAAGAGAAAAGAAAATGTTCTTGTTTGAAAAAAGGTGCGGGTGAGTCTCTTGCCCATCCTTCATTAGCGCTGATGGAAGTGCTTCCTGACCCGGCACGGACTGAGCTGGGGCATTTTTTACATAGAGGAAAGTCTCCGGCTGTTCTGCCAATGAAAGGATCAGCCCTTTCAACATAGTTTATTAGTAATAAATGTCACCTTTAAAGCATTCTTGATAAACAGTTTATTTCCTAATAAAAACTGCATTCTTTTATTTTATTTGAGGCTAAAAAGTTACATGATTTATTATACTTCTGTAATCTACGTGTGTGCCTCTAATCAGAGCGTCATCTGGTTGCAGTTTCAGTATCAGAATTGCTTTGCTTTTCAGTTCTTTGAGGCAGATGATTGTTCATCTTATGACTTCCTTATCTGATAAGTGCCAGCAATAGCAGTATATAGTATTTTTTAATATACAGTAAGTTCTTTAAACTCAGGCAACAAAAATCACAGGCAACCAGACTGATGTTTGCTACAAGTACCTGGCACATGTGCTATTGTTTTCAAAAGATTAAGGAATTACATATTGAGAAATATTCCAACAGTAAAGGTTTATGACCATAAATTGATGAAGAGGAGATTTGCAATGTGGACATTTAATTCTAAGGCTGTGATCTAAAAAAGTATCGCTTTCTCTCCTGCTTTTCTCTGCTTTTGCCTTACAGGACCATTGGCTTACTTTCTAGAAAATGGGATGTTTATAGACTATAGTGCATATAGACTTTAGCATATAGACTAAAGGTGTTTCCACCGGTAAAACCCCATTCCCCAACAAACAAAGTGTTTTTCCCTGTAAGTTGAGGTGCTGATCCCAAAGGTACCCATAGGAATGAACTATGTGTCCCTTTCTTCTGAAGGGCAATGTTTTATGTTATCTCTGTCAATTGAAGAATCGGGGCAGCCAGACTGGGAACGTCTGGTGGCTTTGACCTAAAGTTATCCTACTTGTGAAATATGCTATTCAGTACTTATGATTTCCATTTGCCCAAGAAGCAGTTCCTTCAGGTTATACGGTGGCTGACCCCCACTGTCACCTTCAGGGAAACATCTGAGAAGTCTGCTATATGCCATACAGAAACCAATCTGTTACAGCAGCAGAGCTCTTCCCTCCCACCTTGCCTGCCCGAGTCTGACAACGATGCCTTCATCCAGGGAAAGGACCAGAAGGCTGATTAAAAATAAGGGTGACCTTTTTTTTTTTGACATGTCAAAATCTTTCATTTCTTCTTTTCCCCAAGATTATTTCTCATCCACACTTCAATGAAAAATGGCCTTAATGGTCTTTTTTTTCAGCTAGCTTCTGTTCTCCCTTTTTACTTTGAGTTGTGGTATATAATAAAGCTTTCTACATAATTTGAATTTGACGTAACCCTTTCTGACACAAAGATTTAGTAAGACCACTGATATTTGCCAGGGTTAATAATTGCCATTATCATGAATATCTGAATGTGAGTTTACTAGAATAATATTTTGAGTTGTGACCATATGGTGTATTTATCGCTACCGTTTGGAATTCAGACAACTATAAAATGAAATCAAATTAGAAAAAAAAAATCAGAAAACTAACATGAAAAATACCCCAAATTATAGGTTGTCACCACTGAGGAGTGGTAAGATTTAAATGTAGTAAAATATTTTTTGAAAAGAGAAACATTAAACTATGTGCACAGACTCCTTCTGGCTGCCAAGAACAGAATCTCAAAAATCAGGAGAAAGGATTTAGGTGTCCAGCAACTGTCAACACTTTGCAAGGTCAAGCAGAAACAAATCCAGAATATGTTCCTGTGTGCCAAATCTCGTGATTTTAGACTCTATCTGAAGATACTTGAGACAGATTAAAAGCACTAGTGGTGACATGATTATATAAAGATCTTTTTTTAGTACATGGTGTGAAATGTTTGAAAACGTAAGCCCAAACGGCAACTATCTAACTAACTAAATAGAAGGACTCAACTTTTATTGTTAAAATAAACTTTCATGCATAGCTTCTCTTCTCTGCTCAGCTCACTTGCCTGTCTTTGGAGTTTGGGATTGGCAGTATTAGCATAAAGCACCCACTGGACTGAAAACAATGTTTCAAATAGACTGATGAAAATTTAAATGTACTTAAGATCCTCGGCACCTTCAAATTGGTGTTAGAACATTGATGGACACAAAAGATTTTTTAAATTAGAAAGAGAAAAAAGCAGGGATTTTTTTTTAGCTTAAATCAAACAAAAAGTAAGTCCGAAACACCTGACACCAGAAAATGTTCCAGCCGCTACAAGATAATGGTCTAATTTGAAACCAGTTTAGATCTTTCTCCAAACTTGATTAAGTTAACCTTAAATTCCTGAACAATGTTAATTAAAGGAAGCACTGAGAAGCCATTTGGGGTACAGAAGTGGGGAAAACAAAGATTTCTGGATCAAAGAAGGAAGCCCTGACCACACTGCTTAAAAATACATGTGGACAAGCACGCATGCCTAACTGCAGGACAGCTTGTTTGAGATGACGACGACTGCCCTCCTCCTCCCGCGGCCAGACGCACAAGACCGAGGGGTGGCTCTGAGACCCCCTCTTTTTTTTTAACACAAGTTTCTCCTTGTGAGGGTTGCAGCGATGTTGTTTCACACTGACATCTTTGCGGTGGTGGTGATGGCACGTCTCATTCACATGCATATTGTAACTCTACAACTCTACTTGTCTCCACCTGTAGTAAATCAGTTTTCAGCAGTTATACATAAACGTCCAGTTTTACAAGCTATAAAGGTCCAAGCCTAGTTAATCTTAGTCAATGTGCCAACTTGGCTTTTCTTCTTATTGAAGGGAAAACCTTCAAATAAAGAAATCTATAGTATTGCATATCCTTGCTCCAAATTCAGTTTCCGCAGCAACAATTAAGTAACGAGACATTTCTTGTGGATTAATGACTGCTTGGCAGTGTTTTGTTTGGGGCTTTTAACCCTAGCTTGTAGGTAATTTTTCAGGAAAAGTACCATGCAGAGGTAAATAATAGTATTCGCTCTAGACTTAAGGCAGTGCTATTTATCTAGTGCCGTCAATCTTGCTGTGTGGTACGATACCAGGAAAGGTTGAACTGATTCAGAAAAATTGTAATTAATAAAAAGGAGGGGGACCAGTATCATCTAGATTTAAAGTCTAGCCACATGAATTATCTTGCTGTTCATTCGCTGCCAAAACCAGAACTTATCATCAGGCCATTAAGAAAATTGACTGTTTAATCCTCCTCTTTGCTTGTGCTCACCTAGCCAATTTTTGATTCATAATATTTTGTCTCTCCACAGATGATGATTTAAGAAATGTTTGTAGCGTCTCATAAAGGGCCCTGTCAAACACCTTTTGAAAATTATTTTAGCTGGCTCAACTTCATCCACTGCTCTACCGACATGTCGCAGGAATTATAGGAGATTGGTGAGATGCAATTTTCCTTTGCAAATACTCTGCTGGTTAGATCACAGGGACCGCAGAGGCTCTTTCTTTGTAGTAACCTACACTAATATGCAGATTTTAGGGAAGCATTAGATGTATTTATTCAGCTGGAAGTCAAGGCAACACAAAGCTAACACAGAGCTTTCCAAGACCCTTTAGCAAGTGATCACAGGACAGTTTGAGAACCTCTAATCCAGTTACTCTTCTGTCTTCATAAAATCAGTTGGTTTTTTTTTTAGAGGAGACTCTCTCTTTAACTGCTGTCAGTTGGCAAAGATCCCTTTCAGTTCAGTGAAGCTACACTGCCACTAGCTGACAACATGGCTATGATTTTAGTGTCAAACATCCAAAGCAAAGAGCA